GCCATTCCTAGGGCTTGAACCCTGAGCTGCCTTTTGCTCAAGGTTGGTGCTCTACCACCTGAGCCACTGCACCACTTCTGGCTTTTTTTTTTTTTGGTGATTGGAGAGAAAGAGTCTCATGGACTTTTCTGCCCTGGGCTGACTTCGAATTGTGAGCCGCAGATCTCAGCCTCCTAAATAGCTAGGATGACAGGCGTGAGCCATGGGGCACCTGGCAGCCCCATGGCTGCCAATGTCCTTGGGAAGCAGGATAATTTAAGGAAACTGAGGCCTAGTGAAAGCAAGTCAGAAATAATCGTATTTAGAAACACAGAAGTGCCATGTTCGCTTTAAAGACAGACAACAGGATGCATTCCTTCCTGAGGGATGCATTGCTCACCCCAGGAATGAACACTTGTTGGACAGGATGTATGCCTTCCTGAGAAAATTGCTCCCCCCCAAACTTAAACCAACTCCCAACTCCCCCAAATGCAGGTAGCAGGGCGTTTCCTTATCTCCAATTGGAAGGATCTGTTTTCTGGCAGGATGCATTCTTACCTGGAAACTCAGAAAGTAACTAACACCAGGTCCAATTAGAGCAAAGACAAAGTACCTTGAAGCCAGAGCCCTCTGCCTTTACCATAGAAATGCCCCAACAGCCCAAGTAACTGTTGTCCTTTGTATGTCGGTCTGCATTTTTGTCCGTTTGTCTGCTTGCCTGCTTGTGTATTTAATAAAGCCGAGCCCAGCACGCCACCACTTTGAGCCACAGCACCACTTCTGGTTTTTGAGTGGTTCATTGTCGATAAGGGTCTCCTGGGACCTTTTCTGCCCGGGCTGACTTCGAACCACAAATCCTGAGCTCTCAGCCTCCTGAGTAGCTAGGATGACAGGCATGAGCCCCCCAGCCCCTGGTTCCTAACTGGATTGCCCTTCAACTTCAACCTGCAGGGGAAAGAGAAGTGGAAGATGGTGATCGTGGGGGTCAGACAACCCTCCCCACTTCCTCTTGGCCAGAGTTCAATCCCGTGGGTGACCTTGGCCAGTTGTAGAGGGGCTTTGGGCGGCCTTTTCCCAGCATTAGCTGTCTGAGGGCGGGAGGAAGGAGGAGCCTCAGGACGGGTCCCCGTGACCAGTCTTGGTTTACAAAGTCTAGTCTGTACGCCTTCGTTGTTTTGAATGGGATAGCTGTGTTCCGTCTACATCTTTGCATCTAAAACAGCTGCGTAATCACAGAGCCCTCCGTTGATTGCCACACTGGGGTGTCTGCCCTGTCCTCTGGCTTAGACTCCAATCCTGTACTGCTTCATCAAATGTTAGTAACCCCCTTTTTTTGGGGGGGGAGTGCCAGTACTTCAGCTTGAATTTAGTGAAAGACTCAACTTCCCCCTCTTGGCTGGTTCTATGTATCCAAAGATGGAATATGAAGGATTGATCCCCACCCTGTTTTGCTGCTGTATCTCAATAAACAGTCCTTAGCCGGGCGCTGGTGGCTCAAGC